TGGATGGTGGCACTGCTGGGCACAGATAATCAGTGCCCTGATGATCGGTGCCGATCCCCGCTCTGACAACTGCCGGTTCTCGGCAGTACTTTCCTCACACTTTGACAGTGTGAGGAAAGTGCAGCCGAGAACCGGCAATTGCATTTCCCGGTGATCAGCGTGTCATTGGACACGGCTGATCACGTGGTAAAAGGCTGCTGTGATTGGCCTTTTACCACATCACGTGATCAGCTGTCTCCGTAGGACACAGCGATCACGGAGATCGCCGGGGGCGCGCAGGAGAGCGCGTTCTGGGAGGACGTCATATGACGCACTTACAGAACTGGCCGGCCGCAGTGTAGCCATCATTCAGCTATCTGTGGTTGGCAAGTAGTTAAAGAGAAAATAAAAAGGTTACCAGAAAAAACGTAGGCCAAGTCTTCAATCAATGGAGCTGAAGAAAGATGTCCATCCACCTAGGACACATCAAAATACTGAGAAATACTGTTAACAGGGAGGGGTTCTACTCAGGACTGGCCTACAGTTTTTTGTGTCCCATCCTACTGTAGGCAACAGAGTAACTCAAACATTTAGGACTTTCTCTGTCCCTCAATGGACAAGAATGAAAAAAAAAAAAAAATATGATGCTAGGTTCTTTATCTGCGCCTTTTAATGTTAGTTTGTACAGCATATTGTAAATCTTTAGCAGTTATAGGTTTCAAAAACAGATTCATTTAAAGGCTTATTTCATCTTTTCCAGAAAATAGCCTATGCAGTCAAGAGGCATATGGTCATACTTGTAGGTCATTTGGGCTGCCAGGGCGCCTATCAGAAAAACTCCCAATTAGCAATCCCCAAAGTCTTGCCTTGCTAGGAAGTCAAGGCCGTTGCACTCACTCCTAGCAATACAGGAGTGAAAAATGAATGTTTTTTGTATCTTAACAGGGCAGAACATGAGGATTGCTAACTGCGAGTTTTTCTCCCAGGCCTCAACGTAGGCCCAAATGGCCTACAGGTATGGCCATTACATTAAAGAACATTTTACAAAGCTGCAGTTGTTTAATATCTACTGGGGTCCTTTGACTGCATAAGCCATCTTCTGGAAAAGTGAATTTGAGCTTTAAGGCATGCCTCTGGTGCAACTGTCACAGTTGCCGGTGTGCTTATGTCAGGTCTCAAACTTTGAAACTCCTAAATGATGGTGTTATAGTTAAACACGTGTGGCACATGGCAACTGCAGATCTAACTAGAGGCTAGGATGACACTGTCCTCAGCTGCAAAGGATAAGAGTTTTAAGCTTTAGGAGGCTGCATTGGCATGGCAAGTGCAGGATACTCTGGACATTTTCTACTATTATCACAAAGAGCTAAAGCCATCTGTCAGCCAGGTAACAACTTCAACAAGGTCAGCAGTGACATGCTATGCATTTCTCACACAGCTGTTTCCTATTAACTGTAATTACTGCATGTGCCTCACTGCAAGAATTTTCAATTTTGTAGCTTTCACTAGGTGTTACAAACTGCTGTAGTCACAGTGAAGGGGATGGAAGCAACCAAGCAAATCAACTTATTTCATTCCTTCATGAAAGAACACTTATCACATGCATAATTCCAAGTACACAGCGGTGTTGGGATATGACACTCTCCCTGCCTTACTCTCATGTAGTTAACATTCAGCACTTACAGGCATGGTGGTTACCTTTCAGTATGTGCTATTTTAGAATTATGGGTAAGAATTACACCTAACAGACACGGTTGTTAGCTTTATGCTTTTTTTTTTTTTATTTAAAACAAATGAAAATAAGGTATTTCTTCCATGACATAATATCTCTTTAAATGTCAGTTGGGAAGAGATGCTATAAATGCTTCATATGGCACATCACTACAATGGAGGTTTAAACTTAAAGGTATTCAGTCATTAGTTGAGTGAAGGGAGCCAAGTAGAAGCTGGTGGGCCCATATCACATTCAGTCCCTTATTGTTCAATTCTGGTTGCCATGCTTCTCCAGCTGCCAATTCATGTATACCAAAAATTCCCTCAAGAGTTATGCAGGCCATAGATGGGTCGAAAATCGGCCGATTTTTCGGCCGAAAATAAAATCGGCCGATTTTTGGATCGTTAGTGGGCGATTTGGTCGGCCGTTTTTCGGTATTTTGGCCGGTTTTTTTTTTTTCGGTAAAGTTGGAAAAAAAATCGGTCGATTTTGCCGATCGGCCGATTTTCGCGGCAATTAGTGGGCAAATCGGCCGATTTTTTACCGATAAAAAATCTGCGCATGAGCAGTGACCTGCAAGAGGAAGACAAAAAGAAGAAAAAGAAGAAGAGGAAGACGGTGAAGAAGAGGATGAAGAAGAAGAAGAGGATGAAGAAGAAGATGAGGATGAAGAGGATGAGGAAGAAGAAGAAGAGGATGAGGATGATGATGAAGAGGATGAGGAAGAAGAAGATGAGGATGATGATGAAGAGGATGAGGAAGAAGAAGATGAGGATGAGGATGAAGAAGAGGATGAGGAAGAAGAGGATGAGGAAGAAGAAGAGAGGATGAGGAAGAAGAAGAGGATGAGGAAGAAGATGAAGAAGAGGATGAGGATGAAGAAGAAGAGGATGAGGATGATGATGAAGAAGAAGAGGATGAGGATGAAGAAGAGGATGAGGATGAAGAAGAAGAAGAGGAGGATGAGGATGAAGAAGAGGATGAGGAGGATGATGAAGAAGAGGATGAGGATGAGGATGAAGAAGAAGAATAGGATGAGGATGATGAAGAAGAAGAGGATGAGGATGATGAAGAAGAGGATGAGGATGAAGAAGAAGAAGAGGATGAGGATGAAGAAGAAGAAGAGGATGAGGATGAAGAAGAAGAAGAGGATGAGGATGAAGAAGAAGAAGAGGATGAGGATGAAGAAGAAGAGGATGAGGATGAAGAAGAAGAAGAAGTAGGATGAAAAATAAGAAGAATTCCAGTCCAGCAAAAAGTGTCTCTGCAGAGAGCTCCGCTATTTCTGACAGTTCTCTGACAGTTCCTTGACATTTACAGCGGTTGAAACATTGTATCTATTTGTTTCCGAATAAAAACATCTGTATCCTAAATGGAAACAAATAGATACATTGTTGCAACTTCTATAAATGTCAAGGAACTGTCAGAGAACTGTCAAAGAAATAGCAGAGCTCTCTGCAGGGACACTTTTTGCCGGCTCTAGACGGGTAGAAAATCGGCCGATTTTTTTTTACCATTGATGGTAACGTCGGCCACTTGAACAACCGATTTTTCGTTTTTTTAAAAGAAAAATCTGCAGTTTTTCTCCCCATCTATGGCCTGCATTAGACAGATCCAGCAGTACAGGAGGATGGGCTAGTAGGAACAAAGGCACACAGTGATATAACAGCCTCATCCCACCACCCTCCATTCAGGTGTTGAACTGCAGAGCTCATTTACCAACCTAAAAGCAGATAAAAGGAATTCAAATTCCAGTAAGGTATGATGTCTATTTTATTTCCACCAATATGATGAATATTTTTCAAAATAAGAGACCAGCAAATGTTCAGTCTTTTATTTAAAAACTATAAACAGTCACCAAAGTAAATAAAGCCATTCTATAACATAAACTGTTAGGTCTATATCTTTTACTGCACATCCTACGGACACAGCAGAAATGGTGGTTTGGATTTTTTTTCCACATTTTTGGATGCTAATACAACAGGCAATAGGCAGTTATAAATGGATACACTTCACGCTGAGGTGAAAGGGTGGGTGGGTGGTTGGGTGAGGAAAGACAAATTTAAAGACGTGAGCGGGATCTGAGCAGGAATGTGGTACAGTATTAAGAATGGAAGAATAATACAATAAAATTCCACACTATATTAAGATAGAAAAAGTAGTGAAGAAAATATCATACCTGCACATAATGCAAATATAACACAGGAGAAAACCTGTATAAAAATCCATGTATTTAAACCAATTTACAAATACAAAAAATTCTGTACAAGCTCTGAGCCTGCACTATGACAAACGTTTACAGTGGATATATGTTAGGGGGGAAAAACAAAAATACCTTCAAATAGTTTTTTTTTCTTCTACAAAAATGACGTGATATATTATTCCATACTCTTTCAGCCAGCAAATGAGTTCTACAAGGTGTATATTACAAATAAAAAAAGGGACAGAAAAAGAGAAAAAAAAAAGGAAGATTCAGGAGAAAAAAATATCACAGTTCCACAAAACTGTTTTAACTTTACAGCATCAGTACCTTTCCAGAATTATTTACATAAATTTAAAGAACATTCATCCACTGCGTTGAATATATATCACAATTAGTTACAATTGACAGGAAAGTCTAGAAAAGGTAAGGACCTAGTAGAGTGTTTCTAGAACACCACAGAATGCGTATCTTCCAGTGGCTGCAGTGGCATGAAAGGTGTTCTATTCACAAATATTTACAAGATCTATTTAGACTGGTATTTTTTTTATTTTATGATAATAAATACGTGAAAATATATTGGCTCAAGTAAGAAAACCAAACTACTGATTTCTAAACAAAACACGCAATCCATAGCAAGAGATTGGTGGCATCCACCAACATCATGGGGGATACAGATGTGCTGCATTTTATTTCTTTATTCAAACCAGCTCAAACAGTTCTGTAAATATAAAAATGTGCTCCTTTTTGGATATAGATAAAAATATTTAATGCTTCTATTTCATCTGCTCATGAAGGTTTTAGAACATTTCCATGTATACTCCACCAATGTGGATGGTACAGTATTCTGAACACACCAGTTTCCTTCAGGACTGACCAGCTCAGAGACATCCTGTAGACTTGCTGGCTGAAAATCCCAATGGCAGTTTCTTTACAGAGAACAGAGGGATTTATTCAGTGCTCAGAACGTGACGCTTCCTCATTGCAACGTGGGAGGAGATAATGATGCAATCTATGGTCTCCATTAAGACTTAGTGCTTTCCTCAGTAACAGTACTTGAAATGTCATGTGATTACCACAGTCTATGCTGTACAAAGGACACTCGTTTCACTGTAGCATTTCATAGTCTGTCTCTTGTTCTGTACTATGACTTGTACTATTGAGTTCATAAAGGCATTTGGCAAGTGTGGAGGAAGCTTCCATATTACTAAGGGCTAAAACCGATAAGTGATTTTCATGTCTTTTTAATGATCTGAAAGAAAAAAAAAAAAAAAAAAATACAGCTTACAGTAAAAGGTCAACTGCACATTAAAATTACTTCCATGAGGCAATTATGAGGGATACCACTGCGGGTAACTTACTAACAACGTTAGCTGCCTGGCTGTGTCTGACTTAAACCAAAACTCTGCCCCTTTAACCACTCCAGTAACGAATATATATATACATAATACCGGGATTATGGTTAGAACTAAAACCAGTTTTTTTTACCACACCAGGCAATTCCCAATCAGGTAAAATCTGGATCATTTTTACAGGTGGCAGAAAGGGGGTCCTCCCGCCACCTTTCCTGGGCTCTCCCATTTCATCTGGGAACCCACCCAGGACCGATCCGACTGGCAGCATCCTGTGCACAGAGAGTAAAGAAAGGAACGAAAGTTCCTTCCCCTCCCTTCTGTGACGTCAAAAACCGGAGTGACAACTTATCACAGTTTGGAGGCCAGAGGATAGATCTGGGGTCTAATATACTCCAGCTCTTTCCATGAAGAGGACATGTCATGGCCAATGCCATATAATGAAAATTAAAGTACAGTGTAAAAACGTTTTTTTTTTGTTACCGTAAAATCTCTTTCTCTGAGTTCATTGACAGACACAGTTTCCTCCTTTTTATCCATTACCAAACAGGATTTTATAGCCCCACCTACAGGAGTAAGACACTAAGCAGAAAAAAAAAAAAAGACTTGGCACCTCCTATGGGCAGTCCTTTCTGGGCACAAGACCCCCTCTCTACTATAGGCCTCCCAATCAGTCACAAGCAGTGTCAAGAGAATTCTCCATAGAGGGGTGCACCCAATCAGTGGGGTGCAGGAACGATGGCAGATCGCATCCTGACTGTGGAAGAAATGCGTACCACATATACCACAGGGTAAGCCTGTGGGATGGAACCCAGTCCCCCCCCCCCCCCCCCCCCATAGACACAGAGAGGCATTTGGATCCCCTCAGAGGCCCAATATTGGGGGGGGGGGCAAAGTATTCACCGGCAAGATGCCACCTTTGGAAGCAGTCCAGGCCACTACACCCACTGCATAGCCCACCAAAGCAGTGGCTGTAGCACACGTCCCTGCCCCCCACGGGGACAGTGGGCACAGCAAAAACAACACCTAGCTCACCATACAGTGTAGTAAAAAGCCTGCCCAAGCAGAAGGAGAGAAGCACTTTTTTTTTTTTTTTTAAGCCCGAAGGCAAGATGGCGGCTTTGCAGCCTGCCCAGCATCTGGTTGCCATAGCTCCGCCCCGCCAGGGGCGGGCACCGTCAGGTAGAGGCAACAAGATGGCGGATGTTGCAACCCATTGCAGACCAGGCACGCACCAGTAAGCTTTAAAGCCAGGGCCTTGGGTGCTGGCTAGCTAGACCGCATGGGGGGCCCTGTGCGCAACTAGACTGCTTTGTAAGCACTGCCCATCCAAGGCAAGTCCTACTCAGGCAGCAAAGGTGAACCGCCAGCTGCCAGGATCACATAGTCCCAGCCTCATGGTGATGAACAAAACCCGCTCTCACATCTTCTGCCCCACAGCTACCAGAGATACACAGATATGGCAAAGGGGAGAACCCACTAACAGGTGTACCCTGGTACCAGAGGCCTCCTCCAGCAAAAGCTCAGGGACCACTCGCTCGGCTGACAGCTGAGGCTGAGCTACTTGCCTCAAATAAGCCCCAGGCTCCCAGAGGAAGGGGGGCGGACAAACCAACCAAGCCTGAAGGGCAGGAGGGAAACTCAGCAGGGCCAACCACCCCAGGGAGTACCTGGGTCCCAACACCGTGTCCAGGGAGGAAAGAGAGGGGGCATTTACTTACCAATCCAGCTGGAGCATGTGGGTAAGATTCCCATGACAGATCCTCCTCTCCATCGAAGTGGGGGGAAGCTGTTGGCAAAGGGGTAGCACTGTGACACGGACTACAGGCAATATCCAGAGTGGGGCATAGTAGCAGCGACCAAGCGCAGCGCTAGCGGTCTGCACACACTCACTGGCCAGACTTCAGTGACCACTGGATCTAGATTATCCAGCCCGTCACCCAGCCCGACTGTTGATAGAAGATCTCCACAGGAAACATTTTCAGGGAAAAACAAGAAAACGGAAACAAAAAAAAAACCACTATAGGACCACAAGTCCCAGCATAAAAAAATTACATCCATATTCCTGAAGACACTAGGCAGAATGACTGGAGGCCTATAGCAGAGAGGGGGTTTTATGCCCAGAAAGAACTGCCCGTAGGAGGTGCCGAGTCTTTTTCTGCTCAGTGTCCTACTATTAGGTGGGGTTATAAAACCCTGTTTGGTCATGGATAAAGAAGAGGAAGCTGTGTCTGTCACTGAATGTAAGAGGAACGTTTTAAATAAAACTTAAAAATTTGCTCACTTGTGCTTGTATGCATGCCGGTCCTGCACGCATATGTAAATGGCGATCGCACCACACATGAGGAATCACCGCAAATCTCAGAGCGAGAACAATAGTTCTAGCACCAAACCTCTTGTGTAACTCTAAACTGGTAAAGGATTTCAAAGCATCGCCTATGGATAATGTAATGTACTGTACTTTTTCACCATTCCATATGTTTAAAATGTGACATGTTTAGTATCTATTTACTCAATGTAACAATCTTATATTTTACCAATAATTGGATATTATATTGTGTTTGTGTTCACTAAAAAGTCATTAAAGTTTTTTTACCCACTTAAAATTTGCATTTAACTGCTGCGCAAACATGTACAACACAGAAAATTGCAACACCCACCCTTTTATTCTCCAGGGTCTCAGCTTAAAAATATTACATCTGAAAACCTGCATGGAGAGATACATAGGATGACTTTCTCTTTGCTAGTTGCCTGGCTGTCTAATGCTTCAATACTTTGAGACACTGATGATAGACAGACATACAGATTTAGGTAAGGGGCTAACTCGGAACCGCTGACGTATATGCTTGCCCTGAGTCAGTGATTTTGAAAGGGCTAATGCCCCTGAATCGTCATGGCCGTCAGGTGACATCACTGCCCCCATTTTTATTTGTAGAAATAGGATAGCTCTGCCCTGCGCTCTGCCCCCCACATAGAGTCCGTCCCCTTGTATTCCAAGAAATAAACAGCTTCAAAGCTGTATGCATTGGGCTAATCCTTAAATCAACAAACAAGTCTGGGTACATGTCCAAAGTGATTCAAAGGTAGTATATTGCAAGCATCTACAGTATATACTGGTTGCAAGACATAATGTATCCCTTATTGCACCATTCAAAATCCAACACTTGGATTTGTATACTTGGCATGGTTGTTCAGTTCATCAGATTATAGTGATTCTGTTATTCCTCACAAAGATGAAACCCCCAGTGTATAATTTATAGTGGTACTGCAGCCATGATGACAGGCCAACATAATCATCTTTTTTCAAAGCATATTCTGTAACATCCAATATAATAAGAGCACATATACATAACATATATATCAAAGATCAGAGGCCTTGAAGAAGGTTCATAAACCATACAGGGCTCATTTGAAATCTGTGGAAGCACACAAGAGAAATTTCCCAAATAGCATCAAGAACCCTTTAACATGTAAAATTCATTTCCAAATATATTGAGTGACCTCCTCAAAAAGGCATTCGATGTTTGCAGCTGGAGTGATCAACCTCACTAAATATATATAAATCCCTCCAACTGAAGGGGGAACAAATTATCAACCCAAATTCCAGGACTTGTAGCTGGTACTTTAAATGGTTCACACAACAGCTTTTCCAATATTGAGGTTAGTCTCCATGCAAAGGATACACAGTAAACAAAAGATGTGGTAAGAAATTTTATGGTGTTACATATTCATGAATGGATACTCACAACCGCCATAATGCAATTGCTGTAATAATTATTATTCAGAATCCAGGGGGTCTTCCCATCACAAGGGGTACGGTGTGACCTGACCAGTTTTGGCAGTTATACCAGGCTTCAACCCCCCCCCCCCCCCCCCCTTCCCAATATCATATCACCATGCTGCCTCTTATATGGGAGCCAGGAGGGTCAAAATGGTTGTGAAATCAAAACACATGCCATCCTCCGATGGAAAGGACACAAATGTCAGAGGGAGCAATTTCCTGATTCCACACAAGAGGGAGTCATGCAGCAAAAAAAAATACAAGAATAAAAACAACATGATTCAAGCAATCTAATTAGTCTGAACCAATTATAAAATATGTTTTTCTTTCTAGAAAACACATGAAAAAAGGGGGGGGGGGTATAATAATTTCAGGAAAGGTATATTAATTTCAGTATGAATAATTTCCATAGGTTTCACATGAGCCCTGTATCATTTAGGGTTCATTCAGACAGCAGATTAGTGCTGTCCTCTGTGCAGAGCCACTGGCAGATGTGTACGTATCCACCTTGGAGTTGTGTGCAGGCTGCCCACAGAAATGGATGCACATACAGTGCCCGCAGGGACACAATCATGTCAAAGTTTGACATGCGGACAAGAGCAGGTGCACATATCCAAACAAAGAGCCTCTGTATTCAGAACTGTGCACCCGCTCCTGTCATCATGTCAAATTTTGATATGTGATTGTGTCCGTGCCTGCACTTCTGTGGGTGTATGCACATGCATCTACTAGGGGCTCTGCAAGGAGGATGTCAATCTTGCTGTCTGAATGAGTCCATATGAACCATCTTCAAACCCTCTCACCTAGGAAATTTACAATTTTATATTTTCTCAGATTACATTAAGCGGAGACCATTTCTAAAAACACTGGAGGTTTTTTTTTTTTTTTTTTGTGGTTTCAACTCTATAAGAGAATCACTACAAGGGGGCGTGGCCAGAGCGGCATGGTGTGAAGACGTTTGGACGCTGAGCTCCGGCCACCCAGGACAGAATTAACCTTGCAGCAGTGGTTCCCAGCTCTCCTGCCTCCCCCATTACATGCCTACCAAGTGCCGCACCTCCTCCCACCCTCGCGGAGGTGGCGGATCGCGGAACAGCGGGCTACAAACTTTCTTTACTG